AGGAAGCCATTATGGACTCGGTCATTTTGATTTGGATAGAATCCAAACTATAAAAAACAGTTCATGCTCCTTTTGCACAACAGACATAACTGGAGTCTCACTCCACCCTGACCTCCTGTCCACACTAGGTGGAGCTCAATAATAAGTATTTTGACCTTAAAGTGTCTTCTAAACCTCAAAATATTTCACCATACAACCACACTCCTTCCCTAACAAAATAATTACATGACTTCCATTTTCTAAATACTTACCACATACTAAGTTAAACACCTTATGTGCATATCTCAGGTAGACTCATTATTTAACAAGGAGAACCAAGACGGGTATGTAGATCCTTCCTCAAGAAATCACACAAAGGATACAGTCCCCCAGAGAAACGTGGTCCTTAAAAATCGTGTACCTAGGGGACAGAAATCTTTCAGACAAGAGACCCTGGAGGCAAGCTGAGGAAGCCCTGCCTAAGCAATGGGCTGGCTGCCTGCAGCACTCCCCCAACCCAAAAAAAGTCCAGCCCCCAGCTCTGCCACTGCACTCACCACTTCTTTAGTACGATCTTGTTCCAACGGGTACCAGTTTGGGCTGCGATGAGCTTCTTAAGGTCCCCGATGGTGTCATCGGTGCTGGGCGCAGAGGAGTTAAGGAAAACGGACATTGGAGAGCTGAATGCTCTGCCAGGACCCCATCTGCCCCCTCTCCCGGGTTTAACTAAAATCACCCTACAACACAGACTGCGTTGCCAAGCACCCCCACGGGCCACTGCCTCTCGGCCACCGGTGGATACTTGCACTTCACACGGACCTTCTTCCCCAGACGGTCGTTGCAAACAACCTCGATCATCCTGTCGGGAGCTACACAGGGCGGGGGATGGGAAGCAGCAGAGTCAGGTCAAGGGTCTCCCAGGCCCGAAGACCTCCGGTTATTGAGACTTTTGTTCACTCCCCAAACCCAAAGACCCGAGTCCTCCGGGTCCCCAAGTTCTTGTCCCAGCACGGCAGATCCCAGGCAGCCGCGCCACCCCGCTTCAGATCGCCTCTCGCAGGCCCGTGGACCATAGATGGGCGGGTCTCATTAGTGTTCCCCGACTCAGAACCGCTCGGCCTGGCCTCCCTCACCTCGAATTGCCTAGGACCTGTGGACGCCACAACCTCCTCGCCGGAGAGCAAAACCAGGACCAGAGTCGACGCTGAGAACCGGAAGCGGAAGTGCGCAGCCGAAAGCGCCCTCCCCTCCCCCTGCCTGTCAACATCCGGCAGTTCGAGCCGTGGTTTGGATTTGCGGTTCCCAGGCCCGGCTTTGGGTCCGATCCTGGGCAGGGGGACACTTGCAGTCGGTTCGCAAGGACAGGGGAAAGGGCGTGGAGGGAGAGTCAGAGGTCAGGGCCCGGCTGGGCCCAGCTCGTTTAGGCCCCTTCGCTGTGGAGAGACACCGTCAGTTGGTGGGACCGTACAGCAGCCCCGGGGACATCGGGGAAGGGTGTGACCTCTCGTTCCTGAGGCCCATTAAGCCTCTTACTGCAGCCACAGGGCTACGGGGAGCCAGGTCGAGTCCTGCAGTCATCCCGTTCAGCTTCTTGCCTTCATTCAGGCCTGGGTCTCAGAAGNGGGACATTTGATAACATCTTAAGACAATTTTGGTTGTCACAAGTGTGAGGAGGGAAATGCTACTGGCATTTAATGGGTAAAGGCCAAGGATGCTGTTAAACGTCCTACACTACACAGCCACCACAACAAAGAATTATCCATCCCAAAATGCCAACAGTGCCAAAGATGAGAAACTCTGCCATTGAGTAATTATCAAAACTAAGAAATCAACTTTGGTATACTACTATTAACTAGACTTGAATCCACATTGTCATGTCTCCTTCGTCTCCTCCAATGTGTGACAATTTTTAGGTCTTTCCTTGTCTTGCAGGACCTTGTTACTTTTGAAGAGTAGAATGGCCTTCATTCTGCTGTTTTGTCATGATGGGGTTTGTCAGTATTTTCTCATAATTAGATTGAGGTTATGTATTATTGGGAAGGATACCACAGAGTCTCGTGCCCTTCTCAGTGCATCATACCAGATGATCGATGATGGTGTTGCAGTGTATTCCTGGTTATGTTAAGGTTGTCTATTGCTGCATAACAGATTACCCCACAATTTAGGGGATTAACATTTTATTTTCTCACAGTTTCTATGTGTCAGGAATCCAGGCAGTTTAGCTGGTGTCTGCAGGGGTGGCCGTGGTCTAATCTGAAGGCTCGACTGGGGCAGGATCTAGTTCAAAGCTCGCTCATGTGACTGCTGACAGGATTCAATTGCTACCAGGATGTTGGACTGAGGACCACAGTTCCTCACTGGCTATTGGCTGGGGGCCTCTCCCAAACATGGCAGCTGGCTTTCATCAATGAGCAAGTGAGCAAGCAAGACAGAAGCCAGCCTCTTTGCAACTTTATCTCAGAAGTGATAGTCCACCACTTTTGTTATGTTCTAAGCAAGGTCTAGCCTGTACTCAAGAGGAAGAGATTACACAAGGGTGTGAATACTAGGATGAGGGGATCATTAGGGGCCATCTTAGAGGCTGCCTGCCACACTTGCAATATTAACTTTGATCACTTGGTTTAGGAAGTTTCTAAAGTTACTATTGTAATGCATAAATACTTTTGAGGAGATTCTTTGAGACTGCAAATATCCTTCTGCTTAAACTTTTACCCACCAATTTTAGCATCTATCAGTGCCTCTTGCCTACAGCAATTTATTACTGTGGTGTGCCAATGGTAGGTGATTTCTTATTTCCCTCTATTCTACCTTTATTTATTTATTTAGATTTTATTGGGGAATTGGGGGAGGGGAACAGTGTTGGGGAATTGGGGAAGGGAGAAGGGGACCAGACAAGTTGTTGTTCTTCAATCTTTGTTGTGGAGGCGCCAGTCACCATCTGGCTTCCCATTGGCAGCTCATGGCCTCTAAGCTCAAGATGCTGTGTTCAATCTTAGTTGCGGGTGGGTGTCACCACCATCCCATGTGGGAGTTGAACTAGCAGCCTTGTTGTTAATAGCACATGCTCTATCCACTGAGCCATCCGGGCGGCAGCTCAGCTCAAGGTGCTGAGTTGTCTTAGTTGTGGGTGAGCGTAGCCCACCACAGAACAGGCAGTCTTGTTGTTACACCAGCTGAGCCATCCTGCCACCTGTTGGCAGCTCAGCGACAGCTCATCTCGGGCGCAGCGTCACTTGCCCATGAGAATCGAACCGGTGGCCGTTGCTCAGAGCTCGCACTTTTAAGCCAACTCTTAACCAACTAAGCCACTTGGCTGACCCATATTCTACATTTATTAATTGAAATCCTTTTGTAATGACGAGTTGCCCCTTCTCCCCCATTTATTTACATATTCAGTTATTTATTGATATAAGCATGGGCTCAAGGATATTTATTTTATTCTTTGGGTTATAGTCCAATACTATTGTTATTTTGTTGCTCAAATTGCTCTAAATTTGGCTACTGGAGGCTTTCATAGACTGGCTTCTGTGCCCTTTCAACATGTTTCCATCCTTTTTTTTTTTTTTCAGGTTTTATTGGGGAATTGGGGGAAGGGAACAGACAAGTTACTGTCCTTTTTGTTTTTCAGTCTAGTTGTGGAGGATGTTGCCCCACTGGCCCAAGTTGGCACCATCACTGCACTCCTCCTGGGTGAGGCAGCCACCTGCCGGGCATTGGACGGCAGCTCACGGTGGCTCATAGCAGCTCACAAAAGCGCACGCCAGTGGCTGGCCAGCCCCACTGCAGCCTATGCTGTTGCCGGCGATTCACGGCAGCCCAGCTCCAGGTCAAGCCGCCGCTCACCATCTTAGCTGCAGAGGGCGCAGCGTCACTGGCCCGTATGTGGGATCTGAACCAGGGCCCTGCTGCTCAGAGCTGACATCCCAATCCAACTCCTAACCAACGCGCCACTCGGCAGACCCTCCATCCTTTTTATTTGAGCACTTCTTACCTCTTGGCA